AGCATGTTGTTTTGTTATTGTAATCAATTTATACACTATTTTACTAATAAATTATTTAATATCTATGTACAAGGAGGTCTTTAATAATATATGATTGTTTCTTTGTCGAATGCTATTTTATTGTATAATTTTCCTGCGTATTATAAAACTTTTATTGAATATTGCATCTTAAAATATAATATTCCCCAAATAAATATATCTCGTGTCTCGCACAGGTCTCGTACTATATATATCCCGTACATTTTTTTATTCATTTTTATAATTATAAGGCTGGATAAATAACCTTAAAATTGTGCACCGTGCATCGCACGGGCTCTGTACTAGTAGAAATAATAGTATTGGAATATCCATTGGAATTAATGTCGTTGGAATTCTATGGAAAAATATTTCAGTTGGAATCTTCCATTGGAATTTCATCATATTCTTGTAGTGTGAAGCTAATTTTGGTAGTTAGATATTTGATTTGATCTTGATTTATTTTTAATCTCTTGTAATCTTTATATATTGGATGTAATCTCTCTATTACAAGCAATGGAAAATACACATATTTCTATTCTCTACTCTATGCATTCTCTCCTAGTTCCAGCATGGTATCAGAGCAGTGGTTTTCACCGCCGCTGATCTGATTAAAATATTTTGTTTCTTTTCTTTTCTTCAGTCATGTCATCAAACGCGACTCCCCCTTCTTATGGAACAATATCTCCTTATGATATCACTCCTCATGATAATCCTAGTTGTATAATTTCTATGGTCTCTCTCAAATATAAAAATTATGTTGAATGGTCTTCTTCTCTCCGGAATGCTCTTCGGGCACGAAAAAAATTTGGGTTCTTAGATTGTTCAATTCTTCCTCCATTAGACAACGATCATGTATTAGAAGACTGGTTTGTGAACAATTCCATGTTAGTTTCTGTTTTTACCTAATTTGGGGGTTTTCACGCTAAAAATCTTATGCCATTTTATTGCTTGCTTGATTATCGTTTGGTTGCTATCGCTTGTGGT